GCATCACGCCGCATCCTACACGGTGCCGTCCGGCCTGCCCGCTGGGCCGCCCCCGCCCCTCAGCACGGCTGCTGGCTCCTTCCCCTGCCTGCAGCTGCGTGGGGGCCCAGACGGGCTCTGTCCCCTGCAGGAAAAAGTCCCCCGGGACCTGAAGGCCAGCGGGCCCACCTTCGTGCCTTCTGTGGGACACCTGGCTGAAAAGAGCCGCCCCTTCCAGGCGGCTGAGGCCTGTGCCGTGGCGGGTGAAGGCAAAGACCGGCACCTGGAGGGGGCTGCAGCACCTGACCACTCTGCGCCCTACGGGGTCTCCTATGCCCACCTGAAGGCCGAGGGCAAGGGCGAGCGGAGGCCTGGGAGCTTTGAGGTGGCCCTCAATCCCCGGCTGAAGGGCCTGGAGTACCTGGACAGCGCCGGCCCCGAGGCCTCCTTCCCTGGGCTCCCCAAAGGGGGCCTGGACAAAAGCAGCTACTTTGAGTTGCCTGCTCCCTCGCAGGACTGTGCCCGGCCAAGTCACCAGGACCCGATGGGCGGGAAGGTCACCCAGGCCTGCTGCACTTTAGACAAGACGGCCAACAAGGAGGCCCTTGGGGGTCCCCCTGGGGCCCAGAAGGTGGCTCGGATCCGGCATCAGCAGCACTCGGTAGCCCCCGAGGCGGAGCCGGGAGGCAGCGGGGCTGAGGCCAAGCGCAGGTCTCTGGAGCTGGCATCCCTGGGCTATGGCGGGCCGCCCCCGCCCCCGTGGAGCGTCCAGTCCGGCCAGGGTGCCGCCATGGCCATCAGTGAGGAGCGCAAGGCCGGCGCCTACCTGGACCCCTTTGGCAGCCCCTTGCAGCAGGCCGCGCTCCTGCCGCAGGACCTGCCCGCCCCGCCCGACGAGGTCTCGGCCATGAAGAATCTGCTCAAGTACAGCAACCAAGCGCTGGTAGTCGGCCAGAAGGCCCCCTTCATGGGCCGTGGGGGCCTGAAGGCCAGCTGTGCCCAGCAGGACGCGAAGCTCCCGGCCTCCAAGGGCCCGGGCCAGGCCCCCGGCGACGTGGAAAGGCCCGACTGTGCCCGAAGCCGGGAGCACGACGCTCCACATGGTGACGGGGAGGTGCGGCAGCCGCCTGTGGGCATAGCAGTGGCCTTGGCCCGGCAGAAGGACACGGTGAGCCGGTCGGAGGCGGCCTACGGTGCCAACACGGGGAGGCAGGGCCGGGCAGCCCCTGCCTTCAAAGGTATGGCCCCTCCACAGAGAGGGAGGCGAGGGTGGGGTATCCCTGACCTGCCCCACCCACCCACCCAAGGCTCCCCGGGTGGGGCCCTGGGCCTTCTCACCCACCACCTCCCCACATCCGCAGCTCCTCCCGGGGCTGCCCTGCTCTGCCCCTTCCCTGTGAGGCCCTCCAGTTCCTTAGCCCCACGGCTTGAAATGAGGTCCATGCTGGCTTTAGCTGCTGGTCCCCAGCTGCCCCAACCCTCACCCCTTCTACTGTCCCAAACCGTGCAGCTGGCAGTGGGCCCCGCTCCACCCACGCGCTGGACCTGGAGGCCGAAGAGGAAAGGGTGCGCCTGTGCGAGGACCGCCTGGGGCTCGCTGGCCGCGAGCTGCTGCTGCAGTAAGAACCAGGCTGTGGCCTTCGGGGTGGGGCCCAGACCACACCTCTGGCTCCCCAGCTGGTGCTGCGTGGGGTTAATGGCCGGGCTGTCAGGGTCTGTGGCCCGTCTCCAGCATGGCTGAGCGCGGCCCCGGCATTGCCGGGCTTTCCGCCCATGTTGGGGGGGCTCTGCCAACTCCCCCTCCACCAATGGGAATGCCACTGGCCCACCTGAGTGTGACCCCCACGGGCTGGGGTGGAGGAGCTGGGTGGGGATGGTGGCTGTGCTGAGCCCCGCCCACCCCTGTGATGTACAGGGACAACAAAGACCTCGTGGAGTTCGCCCGGATCCACACATCGGGCGGCTGCCCGGGAGACCTGGCCCCCCACCTCATGATCGCTGGGGGCTCCTCCCTGCAGAGCAGCCAGCTGAGCGGTGACCCGGCCCCCCATCCCCACCCTGCGCACCCACCCTGGCTGCCGCGCACCCGCAGCCCCTCCCTATGGATGGGGGGACATTCTTATGGTCAGCAGTGCTCTGAGGGCAGGGGTCCTGGCTGGGCATGGTGGTGGCACTGGCCGGGGGCTGACAGCCCGTAGCCTGGGGCTCTGCTCCCGGCCCTGCACTGCCTGACCTCTGTGCCCTGTCTCCCCAGGCCTTGGTCACCCCGCCCTGCACCAGAACCTGCCCCCCGGCTTCCCCGCCTCCGTGCCCGGCTCCATGCCCCCCCGTCTTCCCCCTCTCCCAGGATACCCCCGCACAGCTAGTCATCCTGCCCTCTGAGCCCACGCCCCACACCACCCCCCATGCGCTTGGTAAGGGCCTCCCCAGCTGGGCTGTCTGCATGTGGGGCTGTCACCAGCGGGCCTGAGCAGCCCCCGTGGGGGTTGGGGAAGGGGCAGCGAGGCAGGCACCTGGCCGGGGACGAAGAGACGGGTGTGAGGTGGATGGGCAGGAGGCGAGGGCTGGGAGAGGCCAGCTCGGTGGCTGGGATGCAGCCTGGTGCCCCATTGTCCCCACTGGGGCTGATGGCCGCTCTGGCTCTGCCCGCAGCTGACGTCATGGACCAGGCTTCGCTGTGGCCCCCCATGTACGGGGGCCGGGGCCCCGCCTCCCACGTGCAGCACCCAGGCCAGCTCCCTGTCTACTCACGGCCCCAGTTCCTGCGGCAGCAGGAGCTCTACGCCCTGCAGCAGCAGCGGGCCGCCCAGTTCCAGGTACCCGCCCCTCGGCCACACCCAGGGCACCACTGGCTCCCTCTACTGCCACCTGGCCTGGCCCAGGCGTTCCCGGCTGCACACTCCCCCCCTCTCCCCGCTCTTGCCGCCCTGAGCAGGGGGCCCAGCCCGGCTGAGCCTCTCCCCACCCCAGCAGCAGAAGCCCGAGGACCACCACCTGGAGCTGGAGGAGCCCGCCCAGGAGAAGGCCTTGAAGTCCACCCACAAGCCAGTTGCCTTAACCCCCACGGCCAAGGGCGCCCCCACGCCCGCCACCGCAGGCCCTGCCAAGCTGTCACCCTGCTGCCACTCTCCCGCCCTGAAGCCCCTCGCCAGCTGCCCTACACCACCGCCGAATCCCGGCGCCCCGTGCACTTTATCCGTCTGCCCCACCGGCAGCCCCAGGCCTGGCTCCAAGCTGTCCAGCACCGAGGACAAGAGTGGGGAGGGCCAGCGGCCCAGAGCCGACCTCAGCACATTGGAGCCAGGTGAGAGTAGGCAGCACTGGGCTGGCCTCGGCCCTCCCCCCTCCACTCTAAGGCCTGTCACCTGCCAATGGGCACAGCTGAATGGGGGTAGGGCTGCCTGGCTTGGCACCTGCAGGGGTTCCCTCACCTCCCCAGTCCCTGTGGTAGGGCCCATGGCGAGGTCACCTGTCCACACCTGCTCTTCCTCTTCCTCTCTCTCCACAATCCTGGGTGACCCTTGGGAGAAGCATTCAGGGTCCCCATCCCTGGCTGATGGGACAGGATGGCCAGGCCCAGTTGGCCGGCACTGGGGCCCCGTGGTTGAGAGCGTGCCTGGCTGCCAGGGACAGTGGCAGGACCGCGGGGCAGCAGCCATGTCTCTGGGCCAGGGAGCTCATCCCCGCTGTCGGGGCCTGCGCTGGAGGGTCCAGGCCCAGCCGAGGCCTCTGAAGCCGCCTGCCCGCCCGCACGCTCCCCCACAGCAATTTGATTCTCTCCGAATTAGGCCGAGAGTTTACACTGGAAGCCGTGTGGAGAACATAAAATCCGCCCCAATTCCACAATAAGGAGACTGAGCCAGCCGAGGTGGCGGGGTTTTTTTTTTTTTTAGACTTTTTTCTTGCCTTAGTTATTTTTTTTTTTATTGTAGTTAATGGGGCGTAATGCCTCCAACAGGCTGCCAACTCGTTCTGGTTCAGGGAAAGCCCTGATTCAAGTATCTTATTTTAAAACCCCCCTTTTCTGGTTAGCCACACCACATGTGCTGGAGACAGCCCCCCAGGACCCCCGAGGCTGTGGCAGGAGCTGTCCTGGCCAGAGAGGGGGCCCTGGGAGCCCTGGCTCCGGGGGCCTCCCCTCCAGTCCCCCCGCGGCCTCCTGTGTCCCTGCTTGGCCTCACACGTTCCGCAGGCGGAGGGCTGGCTGGGGACCCTCCCTCCCCATTGTGGGTCTGAGGTATCTGAGGCCGTCCTCTCCCCTGTGACGGGCCCACCCTCACCCCTAGCTGCTCTCTCTTTTGCAGACCTGCCTCCCGGATACACGTGCCCCGTGGCCGGCTCGGGCTTCTCCCAGCCCCCCAGTGTGCACTCATCTGACCTCTCGGACCCCAAAACTATGCAAACCGCTCCCCCAGGGGCCCAGCCTGAGCTGGCAAGGACGTTGCCACCCGGGGAGCTGCGCCTACACGGCCCTCAGAGCCCAGAGGAGACCGGGCTGCCCTCAGGGGCCAGGGAGGCCACCCAGGACCTTGCCGCCACCCCCCACCCTGCCGAGCGGGGAGCCCCGGGGAAGGCAGAGGGCCCCAGCCCACTGGAGGGGCTGCGAGAACTGCAGTGTGGGTCCCTCCTCGAGGGAGGGGGCCCTGAGGCCACTGGCCAGGCTGATTTCACTCAGGGAGGGGCCCGAGAGGAGAGGACCACGGAGGAGGGCAGGGAGGAGGGAGAGCAAGGGCCGTCTTTGGGGGCCGGCCCCCAAGCTGTGGAGCAGCAGGGGACCCTGGGTGCCCTGGATGAGGCCGAGCACGGCAAGCAGCAGGCCCCCATGGAGGCTGAGGCCAGGGATGAGGCCCAGTTCGAGGAGGAAGAGCTGGAGGAGGAGGAAGAGGAGGGCTGGGGGCCGACTCCCAACAACAGCCAGCGGCCCAGGGAGCTGCCTGGTCTGGATGCCCTGGTGGCAGCCACCATCGACCTGGGGGATCTGCCCAGCGAAGGCCCACTGGACCCTCAGCCCCCTGCTGTCCCCGGGCCACCCAGCACAGCTCCCCTGCCCCGTAGCTCAGGGATTTATGGAATTGCCCTGCTCAGTGAGCTGGCCGAGCTGGAGATCCAGCAGCAGAGGACTGAGACCGGCTTGCAAGGTGAGCCCCACCCCTCTGGGGCCCTGGGAGCTGGGACCCTTGGAGCTGGGACCCTTGGCACAGGCTCAGGGTTAGCCGGCCAGGCGGTGGCCTTCAGCCCTGCTGGGTTGTCCCCATGGCGTGGCCCCTTGTCGGGAAACCATAGGCAGGTGTGTGCACGCTGTACCACCCCCAGCCCTGGGTGCTGGCTGGGCCGTGAGGGCAGGGCCTCAGGACCAGGACTGTGCCCTGACGGAGGAATCAGGGAGGCCTCCAGGCAGCACTCCCGTTGCTGTGGGCACCCCTGAGGGGGGTCTCAAGGTTGTCCCCATTTTACACTCGGGGACGCCAAGGCCCACAGAAGGGCAAGGTCACTAAACCTTGACCTCACAGCCCGGAAGCCAGGAGGAAAGATGGCGCGCGCTCTGCAAGCTTCCAGCCCCGAGCTCCACAGCTCCCGATTCTGGGCCTGCCC